TAATGGCCTCTAGCTCCATCCATGTCCCTGGCAAAAAACATAATCTCATTTTTTTTTTTTTTTTTTTTTTTTTTTTTAGGAAAAGTTTTTTCTTTTTTCCTCCCGGCTGTGGTGCAGTGGTGGGATCTTGGCTCACTGCAGTCTCTGCCTTCTGGGTTCAAGCAATTCTCCCTCAGCCTCCCGAGTAGCTGGGACTACAGGCGTGTGCCACCATGCCCACCTAATTTTTTTGTATTTTTAGTAGAGGCGGGGTTTCACCATGTTGGCCAGAATGGTCTCTAACTCCTGACCTCATGATCCACCCACCTCAGCCTCCCAAAGTGCTGGGATTACAGACGTGAGCCACCGTGCCTGGCCCCCAATTTCATACTTTTTTTATGGCTGCATAGTACTCCATGGTATATATGTACCACATCTTCTTTATTCAGTCTATCATTGATGGGCATTTGGGTTGAGTCCATGTCTTTGCTATTGTGAATTGTGCTGCAGTGAACATGTGTGTGCTGTGCATATGTCTTTGTAACAGAATGATTTATATTCCTTTGGGTATATACCCAGTAATATATACCCAGTACGCTGGGTCCAGTGGTATTTCTAAAAGGAGAACAACAGTGTGGTCAGTTAGACATGCTGTGCTATGGTGTCTTGTTGATCCTTGCTTTTTTGTTTGATTATGAACACAGGGCTCACGAGCAGCTAAACGTGAAACATGAACCGCTCCAGCTCATCCAGCCTCAGTTTGAGACGCCACTGCCAACCCTTCAGCCTGCGGTGAGTAGGTGTTCTTGGGGGATCCCACTGCAGCGCCCCACTGTTGCCCTTGTCAGCAGGCCCTCACTGTGGTCCCTGCTATGTGCCATTTGTGGCATTCCTCGTGGAGTCATAGTGCTCTGCCTCTAAACATGCATGGACACCAAATTTGTATAGTGTTCTATAGGGACTTCCACGTGGTGTGCTTCCAAATTGAGGAATCAGTGGTGTAGAGCCTTCTGTCTATTAAACATTTCCTATCCCCATCTTATGGGGTTGGAGGGCATATATGAGATTTCTTGGATAATAAGGAAGAAAACTTTGTACTGCCTTTCCAGGTGTAAAGCCCTGATTCATAGAGTAATTCTCACAGCCCAGGGGATAGTTATGGTTGGTTATATATGTAAACAGGTTATTTTTAAACATTGCAGTCCAATATTCACTCAACTTGCCTTTAAAATTGTCCTACCTCAGCGCATTCTGAAATGTTTTTTGTTTTTTGTTTTTTTTTGAGACGGAGTTTTGCTCTTGTTACCCAGGCTGGAGTGCAATGGCGCAATCTCGGCTCACCGCAACCTCCGTCTCCTGGGTTCAGGCAATTCTCCTGCCTCAGCCTCCTGAGTAGCTGGGATTACAGGCACGCGCCACCATGCCCAGCTAATTTCTTTTTGTAGTTTTAGTAGAGACGGGGTTTCACCGTGTTGACCAGGATGGCCTCGATCTCTTGACCTCGTGATCCGCCCGCCTCGGCCTCCCAAAGTGCTGGGATTACAGGCTTGAGCCACCGCGCCCGGCCCACATTCTGAAATGTTAAGAATCAGTTGGCTTGATCTTGCTTGGTAGCTTGAAATTGGCCATAGTGGAAAGATTTACATTACAAAAAAATGGCAAATGCTAAAAGCAGGCCTTCAATTTTGTTTTGAAAGTCAGTAAACATTTGCCTGCATACCATTGGTTCATACCTGCAAAATCTGACTCCAAGTTCAATACTTTCTACACTAATCTGCATCTGCTTCTCCAAATAACTTCCATCCCTAAATACTTAGGATTAAATGAAAAACAAATTGTACAATCAAATGTTGAACACAAACCTAAGCCCCAAGCTTTGTGTCATGGTGCAGAGTTAATTGGCATTGGTATGTCAGCTTGGTCAGTTTAGTGGTGATTAGAACTGGTTCCACTTGGTTGTTTACAGTGGGCTGGTAATCTTTCTTGATATGGGTCTAATGGGTGAAGGTAGATGAGGTGTTGGGAGTTTGGGTGTTTTATCCTCAGGAAGAGCTAAGTTAGTTTTTTGTAGGGATTTCCACATGGTGTGGTTCCCAACTGAGGAATTAAGGGTGTGGACTTCCTTATTCTCCTTGTGTCTCATCATTGTTAGTTATGACTTAGGAGGAGCCCTTAATGATCTTGCATCCTCCTCATTTTTGAGACGGAGTTTCGCTCTTGTTACCCAGGCTGGAGTGCAATGGCGCAATCTCGGCTCACCGCAACCTCCGCCTCCTGGGTTCAGGCAATTCTCCTGCCTCAGCCTCCTGAGTAGCTGGGATTACAGGCACGCGCCACCAAGCCCAGCTAATTTTTTTTTTGTATTTTTAGTAGAAACGGGGTTTCACCATGTTGACCAGGATGATCTCGATCTCTTGACCTCGTGATCCACCCGCCTCAGCCTCCCAAAGTGCTGGGATTACAGGCTTAAGCCACCGCGCCCGGCTAAAGCTCTTAATCTTAAGAGACTTTATGTGCTTTACATTATCCCACTCATTTCTGAATGATGACTTTATTTTCTTTTAGGTTTTTCCTCCCAGTTTCCGGGAGTTACCACCACCTCCTCTGGAGCTATTTGACTTAGATGAAACGTTCTCCTCTGAGAAGGCACGGCTTGCTCAGATTACCAATAAGTGTAAGTTTGGCCAACTTTTAAACTTTGTTTTCTCATCAATTTTATTTAATCATGAATTTCTGACAGTTGCTATGAGAGAAAGCTTAGAGTTTGTTTAGGGAAAACAAAATATGAATAGGAGTATAAACTTACAATTCTTTTTTATGTCATGTAAATAACGTTGGTTGTTCTTCTCAAGGCCATTTAGCTCAGCGAATTAGAACATGGTGCCAATCAGAAAGCCAGAGGTCTCAGCTTTGATCCCTGTAAGTCCTTAGTTCTGACCTATTGAGAGACCACAGAATTAATCTTGACTGGCTGCCACTTAGCAAATCTCAGTCAGTGGTCATAGGAGCACCTAAATAAGGAAATTGAATCAGAGCCCAAAGAATCATAGAGACTTCAAATTGGACAGGATCTGAGAGAGAGCCAATTGTGCCCATCTTAACATGTGGATGAAGAAATGAGTCCCCAGGACCAGGCACAGTGGCTCATGCCAGTAATCCCAGCATTTTGGGAGGCTGAGGCGGGCAGATCACCTGAGGTGGGGAGTTCAAGACCAGCCTGACCAACATGGAGAAACCCTGTCTCCACTAAAAATACAAAGTTAGCTGGGCGTGGTGGCGCATTCCCGTAATCCTAGCTACTTGGGAGGCTGAGGCAGGAGAATCACTTGAACCCAGGAGGCGGAGGTTGCCGTGAGCCAAGATCTCACCATTGTACTCCAGCCTGGGCAACAAGAGCAACACTCCGTCTCAAAAAAAAGAAAAAATATATACTGCATGTACAAGAGGATACCAGCTCGGCAACATTTGAATATGCCCAAAGCCCAGAAAGAAGTAAGCAAAATGGAAATTGTTCAGTGCAAACAAAGACCTTTACTGCATCTGTATTTTGTGCCAGACATGGTAGGTGCTGGGCAGTCAAAAATATGCAAAACATAGTGATTAGTTCAGGAGGAATCCCAGAAAGGTGAAGAAGCAGAAGCTCTGACTTGGCGTTTGTTTCTAGCAACTGTCCTACAGAAATACTTGTAGAAATGCAAAACAAAGAAGATATAGCTCTGTAGATATTAATTGTAGCATTCAAAAAATTGGGAACAGCCTAATGGTTTATCCATCAGTAGGGATACTGGTTAAAAAGAGTATGAAATAAGCCTGGGTCACAGAGAGACCTCATCTCTACAGAAAAAAAAATATTGCCTGGGCACAGTGGATCATGCCTATAATCCCAGTACTTTGAAATGCCAAGGCAGGAGGATCAGTTGAGGCCAGGATTTCAAGACCAGCTTGGACGACATAATGAGACCTTGTCTCAAAAAACAAACAAAATAGTCCTAGTTACTTGGAAGGCTGAGGCGGGAGGATCACTTGGGCCCAAGAGTTGGAGGCTGAAATGAGGTATGATACACCATTGCACTCTAGCCTGGGTGACAGAGGGATACCCTGTTTCTGAAAAATAAATAAATAGAAATAAAGGAGAGTATTACATATCTGTTAAAAAAAAATGTAGGCTGGGTGCAATGGCTCTCCCACCTATAATCCCAGCACTTTAGGAGGCCAAGGCAAGAGGATCACTTGAGACCAGCCTGGGCAACACAGTGAGACCTCTTCATTATAGAAAAATAAACAAAATTAGCCAGACATGGTGGCTTACTCCTGTAGTACCAGCTACTTAGGAGGCCCGGGTGAGAGGATTGCTTGAGCCTAGGAAGTCAAGGCTGCAGTGAGCTAAGATTGTGCTACTGCACTCCAGCCTGGCAGACAGAGCAAGACCCTGTCTCAAAAAAGAAAAGAAAAAAAATGTAGGGCATAAACTTTGACATGGAATGTCCATAATACATCATTAAATGATGAAGGCAACTTACCAAACTATTATAGTTTGATCCCATTTTTGTGAAAACTTGTATTTACACACAGAATTACACATAGCAATAATTTTAGGTAGTTGGTAGCAATAGAACTAGGATGAAAGATTGTTACAGCTGTGGGTTTGAATGTCTTAGTAAAAAACATACATTTGTAGCTGGCCATGGTGGCTCACACCTGTAATCCCAGCACTTTGAGAGGCCGAGGCAGGTGGATCACAAGGTCAGGAGTTCAAGACTAGCCTGACCAACATGGTGAAACCCCAGCTCTACTAAAAATACAAAAATTAGCCAGGCATGGTGGTGGGCACCTATAATCCCAGCTACTCAGGAGGCTGAGGCAGGAGAATTGTTTGAACCCGGAAGGCAGAGGTTGCAGTAAGCCAAGATTGCACCATTGCACTCCAGCCTGGGCAACAGAGTGAGACTGTCTCAAATAAAAAAAAAGAAAAAAAGCCATGCATTTCTATCATAACTTTTAAAATGCAAATCAGAGGGAGAATGAATAAATTACAGCCTGGCTCAGTACTGGCTCACATCTATAATCCCAGCATTTTGGGAGGCCAAAGCTGGCAGATTATTCAAGACCAGCCTGGGCGACATGGTGAAACCCCATCTCAAATACAAAAAATCAGCCAAGTGTGGAGGTACACACCTATAGTCCCAGCTACTTGAGAGGCTAAGGTGGGAGGATGGTTTGAGTCTGGGTAGCAAAGGCTGCAGTGAGCTGAAATCATGCCACTGCACTCCAGTCTGGGTAATAGAGCCAAGCCTTGTCTCAGGAAAAAAAAAAAAAAGAATAGGCTGGGCATGGTGGCTCACGCCTGTAATCCCAGCACATTGGGAGGCTGAGGTGGGCAGATCATGAAGTCAAGAGGATCGAGACCATCCTGGCCAACATGGTGAAACCCCGTCTCTATTAAAAGTACAAAAAATTAGGCCGGGCGCGGTGGCTCAAGCCTGTAATCCCAGCACTTTGGGAGGCCGAGGCGGATGGATCACGA